AGTCAGCAGCGGCATAGCTGCTTTGGGTTGTCCTTTGGACAGGAGTGCAGCGACATAGCTGCTTTGCGTTGTCCTTTGCACAGGAGGGCTGAGCCCTCAGTAGTCCGCCATAGCCTAGGCATGTGAGAGGTGGAAGAAGGGGGGAAGCCATAGCTATGGTGGACCTGTTGTTGTTGTGTCAGCAGTAAGAGGCAACTTCGGATATTGATTCTGGTTCATCCGCTCATTGTTATTATTATTATCATTATTGGAAGAAGAATAAGATTGGCGAAGTGAAGGAGGAGGAGGAAGATGGAGAGAGAAAGGGGATTTGTCATTGGTCTTGCTGGTGAACATCTTCTTCTTCTTCTTCTTCTTCTTCTGCTGCTGCTGCTGCTGCTTTCTCTCTTCTTTGGCCTCTATCTCTTTGCAAGTGCTTTCATTTCTTTCGCAATTGGGTGGGGCATTGTCTTTCATTGTGAATTTGCATTTTGGGAATGACCAGGATCGTAACACATGTATCTCAATCTGATTGGAAGGTAAGCCAAAGTCTGTTATAAGAGTGAAAACTCGAGACCAGTGTGAACATGTGCTCTGGATCTGGATTGAGTCTGTTTTGAATGTGAAACTTGAGATCAGCCAGTGACTGTGGATTGTTTAAATTTATCTTCTTGAGAGTGAACCGAGTCTGGTTTTCAGGATTGAGTGTGTTTTGTTCTTTGGGTTGCGACTGATCTCAACTAGAGCACACAACTTTTACCACTTCGGGTCTGTTCAGATCTACTTTCACAAAGCTCCTGTTTCGTTCTCTGTACAGGGTTTGTCCCTTGTTAACTACTCGGGATGTCACTTGAAAAACACTTCCTGTGCTTATTCAAAACGAACTCCGAATACCGTTAAAGATTCACACGAACGCGGGTTGTGCTCCGTTTACTAGCCAGAGTACAGCAGAACACTAGCCATGTCAGTATACTTGTGGAACGCTGCATGAAGTTGTCTCTATCCATGTACTGCACAGGGGTGCAATCCGATGAATCCCTGATCGAATATTGCACGGGGGTGCAATAGGAGCACAAGCTCTCAATTGAGGAGCGAAAAACCGCGCACTCGGGAGAATTGTGATCATGCAATTAATTTTCATGATATCCAAATCTAGATGAATTAAGAATCTGAACGGTCAAACCGCAGGTTTACATGTCACCTTGAAAATCATGTGGTCCAATCTTAAATTGTACCCCTGGAGATTGGAGTCGTGGCCCTTACTCTGTTTCTGTCCTTGAAAACCGTGCGAAAACTGCAACGGATTGGGCTGCCCTGTTTTCAAGAGGTTAAACTAGTCAACTCCGGATGTTGCATACCGTATAGGTGCAGACCAGAACAAGAACCGACCTTTCAATACAAAGTATAAGATAGCACAGCGGAAGACTTAGATACCAGTGATCC